AGTGCGCGGTACTGTGGCCCCGATACTCCCCGAATCGCCTGTGCCTGCTCGTGCATCAGGGACAAACTCTCGGGCAATGGCCGCGCGCGCGGCTCTCAAGCTTTGCGCTGTAGCCCGCGCGTCTGGGGAAATGCCAGGTCCTGCAATACTCGCAGATGCCATCTTGGTTTTGGCCAGAATTGATGGGGATGTGTTTCCGCTGCCCTCTTCTTCGCCGAGGCAAGAGCTGACTCGCAGCCGCCATGTTGTCGACTTGGGGGCCATGAGTGAGCAGGCTGCGTGGCTCGAATTTTGCGGGTGGCGCGCCAGTGCGAGGGGCTACTCTTCTGCAGTGCGGTTGTACGGCCAGGTGGCCTTGCGCTCGGCATCTGCAGCTTGGCCGCCGACGACGCCTGTGGTTGACGGATATATAAGCTTATTTCGGAGTGCAGGGACCTTGGCGCGATATTTGTCCCACCTCCGCTCTGTGCTGCATTGGATGCGTTTCCCTGTGGGCGCCCTGGCAGATACTGCCCGGGTCGTCCGCGGCGCTGAAAGGCAGGCCGGTCGTTCAGACGGCCTCGCGTTCGCGCCGCCGCTGCTGAGACCAAAGCGCTGTCCACGTGGTGCTCGGCGTTCGGCCTGCCCGACGTTGGGGCGTCCTGGGTCGTGGCGCGTCAATTTTGTTTACGGTATGGCGAGGTTCTCCAGATTGGATCGGTGACAGCGCCAGTCTGCGTCGCCGCGGCGGCCGGCACGCGCAAGGAGGTGTCCATCACTTTCACCAACAGGAAGTGCTACACCGAGCCCGCGCAAGTGGTTCGGAGGTGCATATGCGCCCTCCAGGGCAAAGCGCTCTGTGGAGTCTGTGTGCTTGTTTCTCGCCACAGCTGTCATTCCGGAGCGCTGTTTCCTGGCCTGACATATTCGGGAAGCCTCGCCACGCTCAAGGTGGCGGCTCAGGCGTGCGGCATAGAAAACGCCGAGGTTGGGCGACGGATTGTTTGCAGGCGAACGGCCCCACTGCCCTGTTCTATTCTGGTGGGTGGCGCGGGCTCACCGCATTTGCGCACGCCTCAGCCAGGGCGCGGGGGAACGTGGCGGCAGCAGAGTTCTTGGTTGAACACTCAGATTCGTCGGACGCTGCTGAGTAAAAATGCTCCTGCTTGCATGGGGGGGCAAAGATACCAGTAGCAAACCGCTTCGCGCAGCTGTCCGGACCCACCTGGGTGCAGTGGGTGCCCTGGAGGCTCCCCAGGGCGGCCCCAGCCAGCTGCACGTATGTGGGTTGCCCATTGCACGTGTGGGAACGCGTGAATGTACATGCGAGGAATAATTTTAGTCGCCCCTCAATCACGAGGCGCGAGTGATTTGGGGGGCAGTGAAATTTGAGGAGTAGGATTGTTCTCCACTCTTAGCCTTTTGGCCTCCTTGCCTCCTGGCTTCGGGCGTCGCGTTCATGGCCGGTAGCTTCCTACGGAAGCTGCGGAGTTGGAGGGGAAGTTCTTGCTCACGCCTGGCCCGTTCAGGGTGCGGTTTCCCCTTCTGGCCGTCTGTCCGTGTCCGTCCGTCCGTGTCCCTCTGTCGTTGGTTGTTCGTCGTCGAGTGCACCAGGGACCTAGTGGACCCTGCGTCAGTACGCAGGCGCAGCAGGCCCTGCAGGGTCAGGGGGTGCGCGTGCGCATCGCTTCTCGCGGGGCTACCGCTGCCGCGGTGCACGCTGCTCGGGTTGGGTTGCTTTCCCCGCCCACCCGCTTCCTCGCGTTCCGCTGGTTGGGTGCCCTGGAGGCTCCCCAGGGCGGTCCCAGCCAGCTGCACGTATGTGGGTTGCCCATTGCACGTGTGGGAACGCGTGAATGTACATGCGAGGAATAATTTTATGATAACTTTCGAGCCTGCTGCAGGCGTCAGGGAACCCTCGGAGGTCCATTGGGCCTCGCGTGGGGACTCGGGCGACCTCTTGACAACCCCGGGGGGGTCCCCCAGGGGGCCGAGGAGGCACAGGAGGAGGGTAGAGCGCAAGGAATGGCCTTACGGGATTCTATACTACGAGCCATCGCGTGGCTTGCGCGAGCTCAAATTCCACTTCCCTGGGGCCCAGCGTCTCTCCCGGATGATCAGGGGGTCGTGCCCGGCTGATCAGGTCTTGGGCTGGGAAGCTCTCGCGCTGATGCGCCAGAGGGGCCGTGCACGGATGATCAGGTCTTTGGCTGGAACCCCCACGCGTTGTTTGCTGAAGTCGCGCTGGGCTCGGTCTTTGGCATGGGGCCAGGCTGAGGGCACGTATAGATCTGAAACAGTTCCAACGTATAGGGAAGCCTAAGTTCTGCCCCCATGCCGTTGCCTGCTCCTCTGAGGACATGTTAGGGCGTCCTGAGAGCTTCTTGGGCCGTCTTGACGCCACCTAAGGCTGTCGGGGAACCCACTCTGAACACCCTGGAGGCTTAGCTGCCCCGCTACGCAACACGCAACACGTAGCTTATTGAGACGAAGCTCTGCGAAGACCCTGAAAACGTAGGTCTGACACGATACGTTCGCCATAACGTGGGCCAGTACGTTGAGCCAACACGCAACGTATCGACACGGACGTTTTGAGCACGGTGCGAGTTGCGTATCAAAGCGGGCGCATCAAGGCAGCTGAGTTTGCAGGGCACTGGGGCCATCTGAGAGAATCCTGGAGCATCTGGAGGCAGCCGCATGGGGCCCAGGGCCTGTGGTGCGGTATGGGTGCCCCAGGTGGGGCGCGCGGCCCCACGGGCCCCCCCCCCCGGGGCCAAGAGTCCGAGGCATGGCCGCAAGAGCACGGGCCATTAGCACGAGCCCTGTCGCCGAAGGCCCAAAGCCCCGTAGAGGTCCCCTCCCCACACGGCGAGCACTCCTGGGGCAGAGACACCAGCCACAAAGACTGGAAGGAGGGCCCCCCCTCCAATGCTGGGGCTGTGCTCCATGAGCCCTCGTGCCGTCTACGCAAGGATCTGAATTGGCCTCGGATCTCGACGCGTCGATCGAGTCAGGCCTCCGGACCGGCCTGGCCCGGGCGGGCCCCTGCCCGCCCCTGGCAAGGCCCAAGAGGGCACGAGAGAGCCGGAGCGCAAACAAGGGGCGGCCAGGCTCTGGCAGGAAGCCGATGCTCCAGGCTGCGCACGGACAGCCCCCCAGGCTGGGACTGCGCGGGGGGCCTGCCCAGGCCAGCCAGGACTACCTGGGCGGGTTGTCTGTGCGCAGCCCGAGGCCTTACTGAGGAGGATGTTCTCCTATGTCCCTTTCGATGTTCGTGTGCGTGTGCGTGTGCGTGTGCGTGTGCGTGTGTATGTGTGTGCGTGTGTTCGGCGGCCTTCGAGTTCTTCTGGAATAAACGGGATGCTCCCCGAGGAACGGAGCTGAGGCATGGTGGGGAAGGGGCGGTGGGGAGGAGGGGGATGGCGAGGCTTATGGAGGAGGCGCTCGCCAATTCACTGTCTCCCACGTTCGATCTGATGACGTGTGTGGTCTGCGGCCTTCGGATGCTTCTGGAGGAGTATGGGTGTTCCCGGAGGGGCGACGCTGAGGCGAGGGGGAAACGGCGAGGGCAGGAGGGGTGGGAGGGGAGAGCGTGGAGGGGGGGGGGTAGGACAGGGAGACCAAGGGAATCCTACTTGCATGAGCGGAGGGGGCGGGGAGAGAAGGGGGGGGGGCGTGAAGGGCGATGGGAAGGAAGGCGGCGGGGAGGGAGAAGGGGGGGGACAAAAAAGGACGAAAGGGGGAGAGGGATTCTCTGATGCGAGTGAAAGGGGGCGGAAGGAAGCGGGGACAGAGGGATGCGATGGGGAGAGAGAAGGGAGAGAGGGACGATGGAAGGAGGAGAGAGACAGAGATAGGGATGCAGGGACGAGGGATGCGATGGGGAGAGAGGTGACGATGCGGAGGGAAGGTGGGGAGAGGAACGACGGAAACAGTGAGGGACGAAGGGAGGCGAAGGGCAGGAAGAGGGGGGAGGGGCGGGAGGGGAGGGGAGGAGAGGGCAGCGGGACGTATCGATCGAATGAGGACAAAACTACCTCCATGATTCGGAGTAGGTCGCGCATGTCCTCCTACAGGCGTATCTGTGTGGAAGAACAACAAACAAAAAGGTCAGCAAATTTCTGAAAATAGCCAAACGAGCACGAAAAGTCGTCCCCCAGACTTGTGCTGCACTATTCATGAGTATTCTTCCTGTAGGGGGACATGCCCGACTTGAGATTTCGGAGCAGGAAGCAGATCATGAGGGTCCCCCCCGGGGTGCGGCATCGGGGATCCGTCCAAAACGAGCTCTGGAGTGCTCCTCAACCAAGGGGCGCTGGTCAGTCAAGGGGGCGCTTATTCAAAAGCATGTGCTCTAAGACACGATTGGCACCAACTGGACCACATGTTCTTGTCTTGGAGACCATGTATTCTCCGCGGTGGTGGCGGGCGTTCGGAAGGGGGGGGGGACGGGGGGCGGGGAGGGGGGGGCATAACGCAACCAGCGCCGCCCCCCCCCCCCCCCCAGTGCGGGACTGACACCACAGACTGTGGTGCTGGACGCACTGCGTCACGTTATTGGGGGAGCGTCGCGCTATGTGGGATGAAGGGTGTGGGAGGGAAGGGGGGGATGAGATGTCCTATGACGCGCGCTGTGGCCCAGAGAATGAAAACACACTCTCTTGCTCTCCCCTCCGGGGAGATGCCGCTGCTCCCCAGATCTCTCCCGGGGCGCGTTCTGGCCAGCATGCCGAAGCGCACCCAGCGGGGCGACGAAGGCCTCCCGAGAGGCCCAGCAATTGGAGCACGGGCGAGGGGGGTAGGTACCTTTCCCTGCTCCGATCCTCTGTCAGGGGGACGTCAGACCTGGGTACAGGGGACTCGGAAATCCCCGACGAGGTCGTCAAAAAAATGACGAAACTCCTCCTCGTCAAACTCCGAGGCGCGGTCGTCAAAAAACGATGGCGAACCCGAGTCCTGGCAAACCCGGGTCTTACGCTCCCCCGACTCTGTTCGCTTTCCCCTCCCCGCGGGGGGGGCGCGTCGAAGCCGGCGTCGTGGATCAGCCACGCGTGCCCCTCGGGGGCCGCGCGCGGCAGCGACGCCTCGCGGTCGGCGATGGCGTCCTGTCGCGGGCGAGCGGAGGGGAGCGGAGCGGAGGAAAGACGGTCGAGGGGTGGAATCGCCCCCTCCTCCCCGTCCTCCTCCTCCTCCTCCTCCGCCTCATCCTCCTCCTCCTCCTCCGCCTCCTCCTCCCGAGTACCTAGATCCAACTGGCCTCAACAGGCACCCTGTAATCCCGAATGGCCTCAACAGGACCCGCGAGTGGGATGAGGCGTGGTTGGGACAGCCCCGGGGGGGAAGCGACCCTCGAGTCCGAAGCAGCCAGTTCGGGGTGGACTCCCTTTGAGGAGGGTTCTTGCCACCCAGGCGGGGGTGGGGCCCTGCAGGGCCAGGTCAGCGAGGAGTGAGGAAGGAGGGAGGAGGAAGGGTGGGAGGGAGGAGAAAAATGGCGGAGGAGGGCGGAGGAGGATGGAGGGAAGAAGGCGGAGCGGACGGGCGAAGAGGACCCCCCCCCTAACTCGCTCCCTCTCTACCGCGTCATCCTCCTCTTCCCCCTGCTCCTCCTCAAGCAATGCACGCAGTCAAGTCATGAGCTCCTCGCTACTCGCCTGTCCCCTCCCCTCTCTTCTATCTCGATTGTGATCCGCTCCTTCCCTTGATTGATCCGCTTCGACTGGCTTCGCGCCTTCGATTGGGGCATTCAGTTCAAGCTGCTGCCAGAAGAAACGCTAAACAGGGGCCGACACCGGTGGGGCCACACACCGCCAGGCGCACGAGGGAGCTGGGGATGGAAAACGACGACGACGACGACGACGACGACGACAACGACGGCGACGAGGACGACGGCAACGACGACGACATGCAACGACTTGTCGCAGGACTCCAGGCGCGCGTCGCCGTGCGAACGCATCGTGGCTTCGCTGACAGACCACGCCAGAGGCCCCAGATCCCAGATCTGCGCGGGATCCCCTCCTGCTGCCCTCGACGGGGCGAAGGGAGCCAAGACTCTGTAGCCATAAACGCGCATGCTCGGAGGTCCGCGCGGACGTTGCTCATTCTCGAAGCTGTGCCCCTGACCCTGGCGCGCGGAGCGCGCTGAAGTCGGCGGGGGTCCAGCGACCTCCGAATGCGTAATGTTTACGTCTTTCGGGTGTCGGGCTTCGTTCTTGTAATCATACGTGCCAAGTCGGGGTCGGAATGAGCTCGCTGCCCCTGAGGTCCGTCCATAGCTGTTTCTCTAGCGATCCTCTCCCTCCCTCGTGCTCCCTCCACATACCTCCTTCTCCTCCCCCCTCCTCCGTGTCCTCCTCCTTCTTCTCCCCCTCCTCCCCCTCCCCCTCCCCGCTCCGCCTCCTCCTCCTCCTCCTCCTCCTCCTCCCTCCCACTCGTCCTCCTCTTCCATAGTTTTGTTATGCATGCCTGGCCGCGGATGGTTGACCACGGGCACTGGCTGGCAGATATGCCAAGCACGATAACAACAGCATCTCGATTACATAGAAGTCAAACAATCCACCCACGTAATAATCGCCTCGGCATGCGAAGTCGTTTAGTAAACGCGCCAAACGAAGGAATCGAACAGTGCAAAGCCGTTCAATAAACGCCACTTGTCCGGTCCGGGTGGTTTTTCCTCCCTTGATTGTAGCCGCTCCCATTCCTTCTCCTCCGAGGCTCTAAAGACTTGTAAGTGTTGTGTCAAGGAGGCGTCTAGGGTCTGGGGGCCGTCTCTAGGAAGAACATGTGTGAGAGGTTTTGCTGAGCGAGACGCACCTCCATTGCACCTGCAGGCCCTCGACAGTCAGGCTCAGAGTCGGATACGCTCAGAACTTCAGCTCATGGGGATACATTTTGTCCGACAGCGAGAACCTAGCCTTCAAGTATGCCTTCATGTCGGCTGCCAAGCCCTTCACCACCTTGTCGTCCATGCCTTTCTGCCCGGCCTTCTTCTCATCTGAGATGCCCTTCTTCTCGGCGTCCGAGGCGAACATCGCTGCCGACTTCTTCTTGCTCGCCTCCTTGGTGAAGTAGGCATCGTCGACCTTGGAATAGTCCGCACCCTTGAGATCCACCTTGGCGCTGGACGCGATGCAGAACCGCTGGTTAA